CCCCAAAACCCCAAAACCCCAAAACCCCTTTAAAGAATTTTTTATTAAATTTTACATCGGTCATGAGCAAATGTACTACAAGTTTAAACTTAACACTAGCTATTTTGTTCCTGTAACTTTATATATCTATAGTATCAAAGGCTCAAATTAGTTTCGAAGATTTCATGAAGAAGAAAGCCCCTCAAAATAAACCCTCCAAGGTAATTTCCAAACAATTTTGTAGAAGAAGGAGGCCTCTGGGAAGAAAATTATGATAATGAAGCCAAAGACGACTGCTAAGTCTAAAAATAAAGATACGCTTAAGGTATCCTCAAGGACAAGTTATAGGTTAAAAATACATAAAATCCTTAAATATTCCCAAAAATAGCACATCTCAGGACTGTGCTGTTAAAATGTCAATAATTAAGGAAGAAACCAAGGAATTTGAGTCTGAAGGGGAGGTAGAAGAACATGGGGCTCCTAACAGCCAGCCACATTGTAAAGAACCGTAATTTTCTTGGTCTAAAACATAGTGATCAGCCTGACAAAGAACTAGGGGAGAGTATGACTGGTCAGACCCATAAGTATCGCTTTGTTATTTATAAACGTAGATCCAATAAGATGAAAAATAAGTTTGGGGCTAATAATTCTAGCCCAGTTGGTGCATCGAGGATTGCTGGGAGTCAATCAGATGAAAAAGATGACTATAATGAGAAGATTCATAAATTTACAAAGAGAATTTCTAAAGAAATAAGAGTTACTGAAGAAAATATTTTAATGGAAATGTACTTGGATGATAAAAATGAGATGCAAAACCTAAATAAAACTCCAACATTTCAGACTCCTCTTTCAGAAGATATTTGCTGAGGGAAATCAAGGAATGGAATACAGTACAAAAGTCAAGTCATTCATAAAGTATCTGAAATTTTGGAGAATAATCAGCTTTTGGTGTTCCCTCAAAGTCTTCCTATTAGATCTAAAACATCAAGGATACTAAAAGGAGTTGCTAAATTTCAAGAAAAATTTTATATTTCAGGTTCTTCTTTGAGCAAACATGATAAGAAGACAAGCTCCATGATGTCTGGCAAGAAGGTAGGCATTCTTTTAAATTTAAAGAACTTAAAATCTCATCAAACTTCAAAGGACTTGGTTCAAAATCTAAATAATAATGAGCTAAACAAAGATGTTGATCGACATACCAACACTGAACTCTTGAGTAACACAAAAATTCAGCCGAAGAAGATGAAGGGTTCAGTAAACTTCCAATTTATCTTTCAAAATAGTCTGAGGAAGAACCTCAAAGAGTCCCAGGGCCTAAATAACTCCCAGGGGTCAGCTATAGCCACTGTAAAACATGTTGAAATTAAAAAGAGATTTAATTCACTTGAGAGTAGGAAGGATGGTTCTGAGTAAGTTCTTTACGTTGACTCTAGATGACCAAAAATTTCACAAGTAAGCCCTGTGACATCCTTCCAGTCAAGATTCGCAACTCCTAACACTAATGTGAGGATGAACGAGAGGCTCAGGATCTTCATGAAGCCCCCAATTCCAAGTTTGAAAGAGCTTCGAGAGAGGTCAAGAAGGATCGGGAAGCCTCCTCTGAGAAGCAAGGAATTAGGCTTAAAGATTTCCAAAACTTTGGATAAGAGTGACGACCAAAAGATCGAGTAAGTGCATCATGCTAAACCATAGCCCGATGCTTAGAATGTACCAGAAGTTCAAGAAGAAGTTGACATGTAAGCCTAAGACCAGCCAGATGAACTCCTCCAGTGAGATTTAGGATAATTCTAGGTCTGCCTGATATTAGTGCAAGGAATTGCATCACTGAAGATATAAGTTATGACGATTATTCCAAGTTACGTAAAAAGTAAGCATGTACTTAGTGAATATTTAGAGGATGGGATGGCTCCTTGAGTCATAAATTATTCTCAGGACTTGCAAAACGACTTGTATTTTTGGTTAAATCTTTAGAGGATTAAGAGATATGCTGAACTAGCCAAGAAAAACCACACTCCTCATCAGAGTCAAGCCAAGAAAAGAGAGTTGAGGGAGCGGATAAAGGCTTTGAAACAAGCTCAAAAGAAGAAGGTAACTCATTTTTAACCCTTCAGAAATCTGTTCATAAATACAAGCTTCGACATTTTAAAAGAGTTAGGCTAGATGAACTTCCGCAAAGTGTAAAATCCAGGGATTTCAGCTTAAAAATGGACTAATTTATCTAGAATAAGTCAAAAATCTTTTGGAAAATGGGGTTTTGGGGTTTTGGGGTTTTGGGG